TGAAAAAGAAAGGAGAAACCAATGATAGTAGGATGAAGTATAAATTTTTTACACGAGAAATAAGAAAGTACACAAGAAAGGATAAAAATCAGTATGTACAAGATTGCTGTATTAAAATAGAGCAGCATCACAAAAAATGGAAGAGATTACGAAATGTTCAAGGAAATGAAGTTATTGACAAGAAATTTTCAACCTCAGTTAAATGTTATTTGTGACAGGTTGGGAAATACTTTTAACAGAATCTAGACAAATTCTAGGAAGATGGCAGGAATACTGCAGCGGAATGTATGATATGAATGACAGTGAGGATATGAATGAAATTGAACCAGTAACAGTAGAGGCAGAACCTGAACCTTCATTAGATGAAATTTCATGGGCAATAAGGAGCCTGAAAAATGGTAAATCACCTGGATGTGATGAGATACCAGCTGAATTGATTAAAGCGGGAGGAGAAGAAAGCATAAAAATCTATCATGCATTATGTGAAAAGATATGGAAATATGGTATTTGGCCAAAAGACTGGAAGAGAACTATCTTCATTCCAATACCAAAAAAGGGTGACCTGAAATTATGTACAAACTATCGAACTATTGCCCTGATCAGTCATGCAAGTAAAATTCTACTAAAAATTATAATGAGAAGACTGCAAAAGAAAATGGAAGAAGAGATTAATGTAGCTCAGGCTGGATTTAGACAGGGAAGAGGAACAAGAGATCATATATTCAACATGCGTTTTAATAATAGAGAAGTGTAGAGAATTTAATGTAAATCTGTTCTTATGTTTTGTGGATTATTCAAAAGCATTTGACTGTGTACAACATCAGAAGCTTTGGGAAATCATGAGGAATATGGGCTTTCCATCACATATAGTGCAGCTCATTAAAATGCTCTATCAAGACCAACAAGCAGCAGTCAGAATAGATGGAGAGACATCAGACTGGTTTGGCATCAAGCAAGGAGTCCGTCAGGGATGTGTGCTGTCACCGTATTTGTTCAACCTGTACGCCGAAAATATAATGAGAAATGTAAGAGATGATATAAACAAGGAACAATATGATGCCCTAAACATCGGTGGTCATGAAATACCAGAAATTCGTTATGCTGATGATACAGTATTACTATCAACATCACAAAATGGTTTAGAAAACTTATTAACCTCACTCCAAAGAAATAGTGAAAATCATAACTTATTTCTTAACACAGCAAAAACAAAGATAATGCATACAAACAAAACTGCCATGGAGAAGGAAATATATGTTAATGAGGAAAGATTGGAAGTGGTGGAAAATTTCGAATATCTTGGGGTCACTGGTTACCAACAATGGTGACACAATGAAAGAAATTAAACGGCGACTATCAATTGCTCTTCAAAGACTAAAACAACTGAATAAATTATGGAATTGTACAGATAGAATTACAAAGGTCAGATTTTTAAGAGCATGAATCTTTCCCATTGCAACATACGCCTGTGAGACCTGGACACTTACTAAACAAGCGGAACAGCGCATAAATGCATTTGAATATAAATGTTACAGACAGGTTCTAAGAATATCTTGGGTAAAGAAAAGAACAAATGCATCCATACTTCAAGAGCTGAATATTGAAGAGGGTTGGCTAGTAAAGACAATAAAACAAAGAAAATTGAAATATTTTGGTCACTTGAAACGTCATGGAGGTCTAGAGAGAACAATAATGGAGGGGTATATGCCTGGGAAGAGAGGAAGAGGAAGGCCAAGGAGAAGATGGGTGCAGGATGTGGCAGATGATCTCCAGATGGGTGTATCAGACGCAGGACATCTTGCTCATGATAGGAAGGTTTTCCGGAGGGTTGTTATGGCAGCGAGGTTCCGCGAGGGACATGCTACTGAATGAATGAATGAATGAGTAAATTATGTATAGTCAGCCAGTATTTATATACATATATAAAACACGGCCCATGACGTATCGTCAGAATAAACAGCACAGCTCTCTTTTAATGTTGAGTCGCCCCTAGGCGAATAGGACAAACGACTGGGGTACTTGATGTAACGAAGGGTGCCCGATTGTGTTTTATACCGTTCAAAGGGGAATCTGGGATTATCATGTTATTGTTTGATTCAAACTTTGAACGGCAGGCATGTGGTAAGGGATTCCTTAAGAAATCAGAAGTCACACCTCTATCCAAGCTGATGTCCACGGGGAGGGGATTGGGGGCCCGGGGGGGGGGGGAAGGGGGCATTTTCCTTGTCTAACTAATACCTGACTGATACAGTCCTTACAGGTGTCTTAATTATACCGTATTGAGGTTGAACCGGGTATGTTCTGCTGTTTTTGTCTACCATCCAGACTAAGATTTAATAATATCAGGAGGGTATGATGAACCTTTAGGGGGGAACAAACGGATCGATGGAACTATGGTATCGTTCGGTCGTCCAGACGGCTGTTTGCTGCATTCGGATCTAGGCTGGGACAGCACACATGTGTACACACCTACTGCCGTTTCCTGCTTTTTTTCTAATCACGAAGTTTCGATCCGCAAGTCTCGACTTAACGAGAAGTGGGAGAGGTCGAGTACGTCGTGACAGAGGGGGGAAAAGTTGGAGGGGAAGAGGGGCTGGGAAGACCAGGAGAGATGATGTTAAGACGTTTTGACATATTCGTGACAGAAGGCTTGAACTGACATGGATGTTAACGCCGCAAGGTATTGGTTTGAAGGAGGAGAAGAAGCTGAAGAAGAGGAAAAGATTTTATATCACAGTTAAAATTCAAGCAAAGTCTTTGGAACGCCAGAAACAGAACACCACGGGATCTATACATAGTCATTTCCCAAAATTATATGATTTTTTTTCTTATTTATTGATTATCAACTCTGAGTAAGATCTCGTTTTGTTAACTTCGACAATACAACACACTTTACAGCCATTTGACATGTGTATGTTGTTTTGATGAGCTAAAATGTGGAGTCAAAACAGCAATGTGTCTTATTGTGTTCACCGCAGTTTCTTATCTGCATGCCAGAGTTCTAGTTTAATTTTCATGTTGGCACCGAACAACGAGCTCTCCCCTTTTGGAACAAGAAAGAAGCCGATGGCGTCTCTGTATAGATTAGAATAGAATGCCTGACAGACTCACCTGCTTGTTTGGGTGACATTTTCTCCTTGTTAGACCTGATCCAGTTTGCCAGCTCATAGTGACGGTACAAACCACGACTGCATACCTGCTAATTAACCCATATCTTCGCACCTATGTACAAACCATATGTTTTCCCCACCTACTTACAAACTATTCACACTTACAAACCACATATTCCCACCTGCTCACAAACCACATATTCTCACACCTGATTGCTCACAAATCACATATTCATTCCTCGCTCACAAACCACATATTCACTACTGCTCACCCACAAACCAAATATTCATAAACACTCACAAACCACAAATTCACACCTGCTGGCTCACAAACGACATATTCACACCTGCTCGCCCACACACCACCTATTCAAACATACTCACAAACCACAGAATTCTCACAAACTACACATTCAGACCTACTTACAAACCACATATTCACCCCTGCAATTAAACCTTCATACAAACCACTCATGCTGAAACCGACTTATTCATACCTGCGTATAAACCACATATTCACACTTGCATACAAACCACACCTGCTCACAAAACATATTCACACCAGTGTACAAACCAGACCTGCTTACAAACCACGTCTTCACACCAGTGTACAAACCAGACCTGCTAACAAAACACATATTCACACCAATGTACAAACCAGACCTGCATACAAACTACACCTGCTCACAAAACATATTTTCACACCAATGTACAAACCAGAACTGCATACAAAACATATGTTCACACCAATGTACAAACCAGACCTGCATACAAACCACACCTGTTCACAAAACATATGTTCACACCATTGTCCAACGAGACCTGCTCACAAACCACATATTCACATCTGCTACAACCACACCTGGTCACAAAATGCATATTCATACCTGCTGACAAACTGCACATTCTGACCTACTTGCAAGCCAAATATTCATACCTGCTGACAAATTACTTATTCTGACCTACTTGCAAGCCACATATTCATACCTGCTGACAAATTACCCATTCTGACCTACTTGCAAGCCTGCCTACAAATCAGAGGTATTCCATGCACAGCTGTGGGTTTGGGTGAGGAGGCTCCCGTAACTTCATGAAATAATATCACTGGCAGCATCTTTTGCAATTAACAGTTAATTGTGCAGACTTACTTCTTCTACTGTTGCTGCCACTGCTGCTAGTCTGCTGCTACTACTACTGGGGGTCATGCCTGAAGTTTTGAGTTTTGCACATTATGCCAAAATCTTAACCTGTGATCAGTCACTTTGCAGAGAGAGAGAGTGAGAGAGAGAGAGAGAGAGAGAGAGAGAGAGAGAGAGAGAGAGAGAGAGAGAGAGAGAGAGAGAGAGAGAGAGAGAGAGCCATATTAGATAAACCCAGGTACAGTAAAGTCCATCCTTTCTCCTTTTTTCCTCTTCTTTTTTTCTTCTGACTTTCTAGCCCCCAGTTGAGCATAGGCCCTCAACAAACTCACGCCAAGTCATTCTGTCTTTTGCTATTTTCTGTCCTTTGCTATCACATGCAGCTCTCCCCATGTCCTTCCCATCTTTCTAACTTCATTCTCCAGCTCCCTTCTCCCTATCCATCGCCAGCGTCTTTTCTCCTTTAAGCATAACTAAACATCTTTTTAAACAAATTTGCTATGATAAGATTGCAAAATGAACCAGCTTATGTCTCCTTCTTTTCATTTGTCCTAGTGATGTAATTATAATGTGCCTGTTAACAGCATAGCTGCGATATTTGTGCTGTTTGGCCGACACATCTAGCTTCTTCCTGCATTTGCTCACCAGGGTAGCCTTCCGGAAACGAGCTTATGAAAATTCTGTCAAACATTTGTAGTATTTACTACTCAACATGTGTTTAACATGTGTTTACTTGTTAATGTTGTTTCAGGAATTGCGCAGCAGAAGCCAACAAGTCAAACCAATTTGAAGTGTTTGGTATGCGGAGACAAATCATCAGGAGTTCACTATGGTGTACTGGCCTGCGAGGGATGCAAGGTATATATGTTTTCATTAACAGTGTTTTGCTCTCATTAAGAGTTTCTTCTCCTTCTTGTTCACTGGCTGTAATTTCAGTGGAAGGTTTTGGTTGTTTGTCAACTTCTGGATTTGGTCTTGCTCCAGAACTTGAGTTTTGCATGCCCTTCCGTTTGGCTTATTTTTTGCCATTCAGGCAGACACACTCCACATTCAGGGAACACACCTAATTAGTTGACTTTTATGACATGCCTGTTAGGAGGGCAGTGGATCTTTTCTGTTTACCCCATATGGGGCCCTGGAACCCACACTGTGAATTAGGTCTTTCAGTACCATCTAGTTGTTACTTCAACATTTTCAGTCTCAGATTGTGTGTACTTTAGCTAGAGCAAACATCTTTAACAATACTTTAGTTAGAGCACCAGTCTTTAACATTAATTTAGTTAGAGCACCTGGCTTTAACCTCATTTTAGTTAGAGCACCCTTTTTTAACATTACTTTAGTTAGAGCACCTTTTTTTAACATTACTCTAGTTAGAGCCCCTGTCTTTAACATTACTTCAGTTAGAGCACCTGTCTTTAACATTACTTTAGTTAGACCACCAGTCCTAAACATTACTTTAGTTAGAGCACCTGTCTTTAACATTAATTTAGTTAGAGCACCTGGCTTTAACCTCATTTTAGTTAGAGCACCCTTTTTTAACATTACTTTAGTTAGAGCACCTTTTTTTTTAACATTACTCTAGTTAGAGCCCCTGTCTTTAATATTACTTCAGTTAGAGCACCTGTCTTTAACATTACTTTAGTTAGACCACCAGTCTTAAACATTACTTTAGTTAGAGCACCTGTCTTTAACATTACTTAGCTAGAGCACCTATCTTTAACATTAGTTAAAGCACCTGTCTTTAACATTACTTTAGTTAGAGCACCTGTCTTTAACATTACTTTAGTTAGAGCACCTGTCTTTAACATTACTTTAGTTAGAGCACCTGTCTTTAACATTACTTCAGTTAGAGCACCTGTCTTTAACATTACTCTAGTTATAGTGCCTGTTTTTAACACAATAATTTAAAGCAGCCATATACAATAGAGTGGATATATAAGTGAACAAATGTTTAATGGAGACGGGTAATGTATACCAGCACGGCTATAACACGGAGCCCCCCCCCCCCCCCCCATCTGCTTCAAATATATAAGTGGCTAAGTTGCGCCCCCCCCCCCCTTTTCAACCATAAATAGATAGATGGTCCAGGCATCTCCGACAAAGAAATCATTGGGAGAGGGCCATAGTCCCCTTATAATTCTGTAGGGTTTGAGCCTCAAAGAGCTTAAGTTGTTTTTTAACTGTGCAATAATAATAATTATTATTAATGTGTGCTGAATGGCAAATGAATATAATAAAGTATTTAACATAATATGTAAGGTATGAACAAGGCTCAAGATTAAAAACTACAAACATTCCACTTTTCTGCACCAGGCTTAGCTGCAGATGTGGACCAGATGTTACTATTCATGGCTGAACGATTGATTGATTGATTGATTAAGAGGCTCTATTAATATATATTAAAAAAATTTTTATTGAATTGTTTTGTAAGGTTATATTTGAACATTTTATAAGCAAGTAATAAATAGGTCTGTAAGTACATATTTTTCTGCCATTTCAGAGGCTATTGCCAGCTAGGACTATCAGATTTATGCTCATATAGCAGTTAAGTGATTATTAATTCACTGAGTGCTAAGAAACACACTATATATTTATTGGATTCAGCTGATGTGGCATACATTTATTAAGTTTCTATGACCCACCTATTTGCTACATTACACCTCTCTACCCAAATTGTTACTTAATCCCTTCGGTCTCATAATGTTATTTTCCAACTGTCACAACATATTCCAGTTTTTCTTCTTCTCATAATGTGACCAAATATTGACGACAGCTCTTTCTTAACCTTGCCCCAATTTGGAACAAAATATCTATTTGAAGCCCCCACCCCGACTGTAGTCAGGAGCTGTAATATAACCTAACTGTTGGATAGGGTTTCTGTGACTTATACCCGGGTGATTCTCATTCAAATAGTGGCACTTTGTGCCACCGGGTGTTTATAATCGCTCGTCGTGTGGTCCTGGTGGGGTTGAATTTCACTCATGACCGTCTCTTTCTGCTGATCAATACATGTACAGTATATATGTGAAGATTGAACACTTCACACTCCTAGCCTTTATTTCTTACCAAAATGAACTACCCGCCAACGCTGGACTACAGGTTATTTCAAAACTGCTTTTTTTTGTCCTAGTCATCATCATCATACTGTGCCTTGTCAACTGGCGTAGGCACTCAAGCGTCTCCACAGATCACAATCCCTGGTTGTCTGAAACAGCTCTCTTGATAATATCCCTCCATGCCATCATTACAGCCCATCCATCATCATCTCTTTTGGTCTGTGTCTACCCCTTTTCCCACTGATCTTTCCAGTTGTCACAATGTTCTCCAATGTCTGTCTTCTCATTATGTGGCCAAAGAACAGTGTTTGTCTCTTTCTTATTGTTGTATCTAGAGATCTACTTTTATTAGCTTCTTTCAAGCAATTGTTGTTAGTTACTCTGGCCATACAAGGTATTCTCAACATTCATCTCAGAAACCACATCTCTGTTGCTTCCAAATTCTTTTTAATTTGTTTACTGACATTCCAAGATTTGCTGCCATACAGCAGAACAGGTTCTATGTAACATTTTCACACCCTCTTTCTGACATTAAATGAGAGCAATTTATTGCATAAGATATTTTTCATTTTCTGAAATGCAGCTTTTGCTTGCTTGACCTATTCTGCTTTTAATCTCTGTCACACATTTTCCATCTGATGATATTATTGTTTCCAGATATTTGAATTTATTGACTTGGTTAAGTCTTTTTCCTTCAGTTGTGATATAACAGTGTGGAGTTATCTTTTTCTTTGATATAACCATTACATTGGTTTCTGGAATTTATTCCGGTGTGATTCTCATGCTTAAGATGTTAATCCTACAGACTGCAATCCTGGAGGGATTTTAAAGAACCACATCAACTTTGCCTTTTAATGCATTTTTTAAAGCTCTCAGAAGTCTCAGCCCAGTCATATGAGGGTTAAAAATAAAGGACCCTTGTCTACGCTTTTCAGGCATATCCGATATATAGGGCTAGACCTATATTTTATAGACCAAACGACACTCAGTGGGTGATGGGTCAGCATCACGTCGGCCACCTTTACTTACCATGACTTCACCTGGTACCCACTCAAGGCTGGGTCAAGCTGGGAGCCAAGTTTATTTTTGAAAAAAAAGTCTGGCTGCCATTAGGAACCGAACACAAGACCTTCTGATCCGCAGGCGAGCGTCTAGCCGCTAAACGACAGTGGCTCCCAAATGAGGGTTAAATACAATATTTTTTCGACAACAACAATAAACAAAATCTTTAGTCGGAAATGGATTTGAACTTGCTTAGAAATGACACTGCACCACCTATACCAATCATGACCTATGAATTCATTCCCCATGCTATTTCAGCAAACTGAAGGGCTCCCCAGCATTCAATACTTGAAAATAGCTGACCCTTATAGGTTACCATAATGGGAAACTCAAAGAACAATCCTGCACCAAAAATATGAAACACCACTTGGGGATCATGTATTGCAGTTTTAAATTTGTAATTCTGTTTTCTCTAGGGGTTTTTCCGCAGAGCTCTGCAAAATGTTGGAGACCCAGCCCGCAAGAAATGTTTCTACACAAAGAATTGTGACGTCAACATGCAGACACGAAACCGGTGCCAGTACTGTCGTCTGCAGAAGTGCTTAGCTCTTGGAATGTCCAGAACTGGTAAGAACTATAAAGATAAGCTTGATGAGAAGATTACCTCTTCTTCACGTTCATCACCCTGGCGGGAAGTTCTGGTTGTTTGCCCTTTTCTGGACCTTAGTCTTGTTCCAGAACTTGAGTTTAGCGGGCACATCCATTTTACAGATGAGGTATATTTTTAAGCAGATCGTTTGTTCCTCACCTCTCAGGCAGATGCACTCTGGCTTTGAATGAAACATCACTATGTAGTCTACTGTTAAAATACCCACACAGGGAAGAAGAGGACCAAAAACATATACATTCCTTACCCACACAGGTCTGCAAGTTACACCAGGATGGTGTAGTTGTTACTCGTGCCCCAATTATAACTTCTTTGGAAGTGTTGAATGGTGTTTCTAGGATTAGCCCTATTGGTCTGCCTATGCAGGTAGAGATTTGGTAACCTCAGAGAGTCAAACCTTCATGTAGCAGCCAGAAAGGGGAAAAATGGCATGCACACAAGATGACCAGTGGATGCATGTGTGTCTTGATCAAGCTTTAGCTGTAGTTTAACTGTTCCACTACCAGTCATGGTCAGTACAAATAACATCATCTGCAGAAGTTCTTAGCCCTTCAAATGTCCAGCACTGGTAAAAAAAATAATAGAATGTTGAATTGTTGAATGTTGAGTTGAGAATCAACATCACAGCACTTGAGAGAATCACCATCACAGCACTTGGGAAACTCACATAAACGCTCCATCCCCATCTTTAGCAACAAGCGAAAGAGTTATAATTACGATGGTACCAGTAACTGTCTATACATCCATCTTACCTTTTCCTTGAGTGTTGAGTGTCAGCCAGATTCCCTGGTAATTCCTCGCTGCATCATTCTTCTCAGACAGTAATGATCTGTTTACGCTGATCACTTGCTCCCAAAGGGTCCTAACCACATCTAGCTTGTCATACGTCAGTTCACCACCAAGTGGTGCAGATTCGGCCAGTCCATCTGCCTACTCATTTTTCAACACACAGACATAACCGGGAGAAAATATACAAAGGACATTAACCACCTGTGACCTCAGAAGTGAAAATGAGAGGTAGGATAGATAAGAAGATGGGCAGTAGAAGCAAATGTGTCTCATGTATCAATCGTGTTTTTGTGTGTGTGTAATAAACTATTGCATTGACATTCAGAGTTAGTGCCAGTACTGTCATCTGCAGTAGATTTGCTCAGCCTCTCTCTTTCAGGCTCTTTATCACTCTCCCTCTCTCTGCTGCTTGCCATGTGTGTTGCAGAAAGCTCAAACTCTGTAGCTCTGCAGTGATAATGTTCAAGAATCTGTATAAACCACACATAATGATGATAATGATGTTAATGATGAATATAATGATTCTAACAGTAAAGAGAAATCATTGCAGAAAAATTTGCACACGCTAATATATTTTTTTTTGCCAGCCCAACTTATGTACATTTATATTAACTATACTGTAATAATTTTTTTTCTAAGCGGCCAAACTAGGGCGCAGGTCAAGAAAGATGCGAGAAATGATCCAAAACATAGAGAACACACAGACAGAGCAGGCACTCCATGGTTTACTGAGCCTGAATGCTGACAACAGTACAGCAGTTACTGTCATTAACTCTGATGAACATCCTACAGTGAGTCATTTGTTTTCAGCTTTTAAAGCTTCTGAAACAATTTATGTTTTAATACTGTTAAGTTTTGTTCTTTTTTCCTCATTCTTGTAATCAAATCTGTGTCTGGTATACAGTTGGAAATCCAGTCCAGTCTGCTTGAGATGTCTCTTAATCTTGCTTAGTTTATGAGATGGCTCAGGATGAATAAATAAATTAATCAATCAAGAATTGACATTGCTGCAGATTTAGGAATCTTCATATTTACAACATCTTGTTGTTTTCCAAAGTGGCAGCTATACAAATTAGGAATCCTCACACATTTTATTTTTCAAAGCAACATCAAATTAGGAATTATCAAGGTTACTTCAAGCTGTTTTTCAAGCAGAATCTAAAACAAGCTAGGAATCCTCAAGTTTACATCAGTTTGTTTTCCAAAACATTATCAAATTAGAAATCAAGGCTACATCATCTTATTTTCTAAAACAACAGAAATAAAAATTATAAATGATATAAATTTCAAATTTTAATTCTTTTCTAATCAGTCTCTGTTAGTTACTCTGTAATAGTGATGTTCAGTATAAAGAAATCATTTAAAGGTAACGTAACCTCCTACATAGTGTCAACAGCTTTGGTATACTAGCCTTATTCTATGAAAACTTGAATGTTATGGCAGGGAAGACCAGGCCCCCAGCCTTGGTTGACAGCTGATCTAGGAGGGAAGCTCTGACAGGTGGACAGACAGAACAATGCAGAATGCATTGTTTAAAAAGTACTTGTGTAACTATTCTCTTTTCTTTGGTGTAAACAAAGCAGGCCGGGGGGGCTGTATGAGCAACATATGGTCTCTACTGTACTGCCAGACTTTGTGCTGTGGAAGGGGAAAATCATGCTGTATGAGCAGTATATGGTCTCTACAGTACTGCCAGATTTTGTGCTGTGGAAGGGGAAAATGATGCTGCATGAGCAGTATATGGTCTCTACAGTACTGCCAGATTTTGTGCTGTGGAAGGAGAAAATGATGCTGTATGAGCAGTATATGGTCTCTACAGTACTGCCAGACTTTGTGCTGTGGAAGGGGAAAATGATGCTGTATGAGCAGTTTATGGTCTCTACAGTACTGCCAGACTTTGTGCTGTGGAAGGGGAAAATCATGCTGTATGAGCAGTATATGGTCTCTACAGTACTGCCAGATTTTGTGCTGTGGAAGGGGAAAATCATGCTGCATGAGCAGTATATGATCTCTACAGTACTGCCAGATTTTGTGCTGTGGAAGGGGAAAATCATGCTGTATGAGCAGTTTATGATCTCTACAGTACTGCCAGATTTTGTGCTGTGGAAGGGGAAAATCATGCTGCATGAGCAGTATATGATCTCTACAGTACTGCCAGACTTTGTGCTGTGGAAGGGGAAAATCATGCTGTATGAGCAGTATATGGTCTCTACAGTACTGCCAGACTTTGTGCTGTGGAAGGGGAAAATCATGCTGTATGAGCAGTATATGGTCTCTACAGTACTGCCAGATTTTGTGCTGTGGAAGGGGAAAATCATGCTGCATGAGCAGTATATGATCTCTACAGTACTGCCAGACTTTGTGCTGTGGAGAGGAGGAACTTCATCCTTGGCCTTAATAGTCGTGGAAACATTGAGTGGGTCTTGCTAGGCCATGAGCTGAGATTTCTTTGCCTCTCTATAGTACAATATAACAAACAATATAAATTAAAACCATCTTTTCTGTGTGCTTTTTAAATGTTTATTTAAGAGTTGATGATTACCATAATAAACAGTGTCTCAGCTTATGGAAACTCACATGCATTTGTATTTCTTTTACTGTTATCAATGTTTACATAATCTCTTTCAGTGCCTGACAACTGTTACTTCAAAATTTTTTATCTTGGTGTACTTCAGAGCAGTATTCCTCAAACTTTGTATACCCGCAGACCACCAAAACAGTGAAAATTGTTTCGCTGCCCATCGGACAGCTAACCAAACACAAAATCAAATATAGAAGTGTGAAGTTTAAACAACAGATCAACATCATGGCACAAGGGTAGTAACCCATAAGTGCTCCATTCTACTTCTAACTCCATTTTTTAACTCCAAATTTTTAACCCAACATTTTGCCCAGACAGCGCCGTTAGGCTACTTTTTTTCAATTTCCAACTGCCAATGGCTATTTCACGTGCACAATAATACACAAGAGTGTTCGATCTCACTATCCATTGACTAGAAGTCCACTTGAAAAAATATCAGCCTTCACTCGGGTCTGAACCCGGGATCTCAAGCACTCGAGGCGTACACCATGCCTCGAGACCATGCAGCCCCATAGCAAATATAGATAACAGTTTATTTGTTAAATCTGATGTAAAAAATTTACAATTTTCAGCTAATGAGACTTCTGCTGCTTAGAGGCTATGCAGTCCTATATATGTGGCTGGAGCGTTGTTCAGATAGTCAAAGTGCTGCAGTCACATTAATTCTTCTCGTGTGGGTTCCGGGAAAACAAAACTAGAGCCATTGCCTACCCAGCAAGCATGTCGTAGGAGTCGACTAACTGGGGGTTTTCTTTGAAGTTGGACTACATCTGACCGAGCAGTAAGGAACAACCATCTGCACACAGATAAGCCACTAAAATGGATGTACATGCAAAACTCAGACCCTGGTACAAAGCCAAAGTCCAGATGGACGAGCATCCAGGACTTTCCACTGGAGCTTACAGCCAGTGAAGAAAGAAGAAGAAGAAGATGTTAATTCAATTTCTCTCATTACTTTTTTATGTGGTTACATGGGTTTTCCAGGATTTGTACCTGGTTTATTCTCAGCCTTGGGGTGTTGATTCTGTAGGCAGCAGCCCTGGAAGAGGAAACCTTCCTACCCTACCCTTTTACATGAGTAGGCAGAAATTATTGGCAGCCCACCCGTAATTTTCCATGGCCCACTGGTGAGCAGCAGCCCATGGGTTGAAGAACACTGCTTTAGAGAAATAGTCTTTGAGTCTCAAAAGATTACAATGATGAAAATGCAGAATACAATGCAATAAAGTAGATATTGTAGTAGCACAGGTGAATATAGCCCCCAAACTGTCTGAACTTAAGGTTTCTATGTAATCTTTCGGGGCCGTAAAATGACCTTATGACTGATCTAGATTTCTGAGATTTGTGGGGGGAAAAGGGGCTGGGTGGGAGTTTCATCTGAATAGTGAATCTCTGCACTTTGCGTCACTGAGTTTTAATTGCTCAATGTGCAGCCCTAGTGGGGTTCAACTTTACTGACTCACGGGTGAATGTAAATCGGGGCTATCTAAGTTTTTTCAGGAACCAAAATTTTGGAATTCTATATCGTCATGGGCCACTGGTCCGTGCCCTGGCATAGTAAGATCATTGATATATAGTACAATTGACAAAGATCAGCGGGCCACTTGCTATGCCTCCGTTGGCCAGATTTGGCCCTGACGTAAATGAAGAAAGGGACAAAAGAAGTTAGCCAATGTATGTTACGTAAAGAGTAAAGAATAATCAATAAACATACAGTGAGTTGTCTCATACTGAAAGAATTTTTAAAAAGTATATAATGAAGTCAACTATTTTCCTTTGATTTGATTTTTGCAGAATTTGAGCACAAGTGACTTTCAGCATCAGGCAGAAGTGTCTCCAAGCTCTGATCGAAACACCCAGCTGTCAGTGGCTGCTTTATCAGTGCTTCTGAAGGAGGGCTCAACTTCAGGTCAGCTTATTGGTCAGCCTATGGTAGCCAACCACCATGCTCTAGTGATTCCCAAGCCAGAGATGAACCTACAGGCAGTAGCTCAGGCTCAGCTGGGGGTCACCGACCCAGACTTGAAGAACAGGATCATAACACTAATGCAGCAGGCAGCAGCAGAATCTACCAGTGGTAACAATGCTGGCAGACAAGAAGAGGATCAGCCTCTTATGTTGAAAGTGCAGAGAAGTTCTCCATCATCTTTAGGTATTGTGTCCTCATCAGGAATGCGATCATCACCTTTGATGTCAACAGCTGCCACATCCAAAGTAACAGTGATTCAGCATCATAGGCCAAGCCCAGGAGACAGTCAGCAGAATCTTCACAGTCCTGGAACCAGTGAAGATGTTGCAGACATCAAGAGTTCAAGGGCACAAGAAACAGGAAGTTCAAGAGCTTATAGCAGTGAACCATTGCCAACTTCAACATATATTGACAATCTTTTCAAATCTCAGCAGATTTACACTATACCAGGTTCATCAAATCAGCTCTACATCAAAATGGAGAATGGTCAGATAGAGCCCATTGGTCATTTTGAAACGGTTGGCAACTCAACAGTTGTGTCCAAAGTAATGCTCCCTTCATTTGTCTCTGCTTCATCCGAATCGCTATCCTATCCCATGTCGCTTCCAGCTTCAGTTTCTTTAACTTCCAGTACATCTACAAACCCTTGTGTTCCCCATAATCTAGTAGTTAATGAGATTAATTCACAAATGTCTGAAGAATTGCCTCAAATGGCTGGCAGTTACCCATCTGTGATAGTTTCTTCTAACAGTTCCAGTCTTGATCTGCGCAAGAAATTTTCCGCAGTGGAGCAGTTCATTCGCAGCCCTATCAAAAAGAGACCCTACTTTCCAAACACAGGACCTGACGACCTGAGTCAGCCAGCCACTTCATCTGGTTTACAAGCTTCCCCAACTGTATCTTCAGTAACCACGTCTAGCAACAAACGAGGATCCTCAGAATCCAAACCAAAACGTCGACGTAATAATAACAATAACAGTAACACTAACAATGTCTCAGAGTCAGTGGCTGTTTCATCCATAGGCAGACATGCTACAACTGTTAACACAATCAGCAATAGCAGTACAGCAGCTGATGGTTTCTCCACCAGTCTGTCTGTATCTGTATCACAGAAAGTCAATTCTCCAGTTCTGTCTCACAGAAAAGGCAGTTTTGTCACTTCTAACACAGACAGTGAAGGCCACGGTGCTGTCAACACCACCAATGCTTCAATTATGGAGTATTTCTCACAGAGCCTTCAGCAGCAGCAGCAGTACCTCCAGCAAGAGCATGCCCAGCAGAGTTTCAACAACAGCTTAGCAGTTCAACCAGCAGGGAGGAGTGATAGTTTTTCTGGGAGGAGTGATAGCTTTTCCAGACTTGGTCGTCCACTAGACAAAGAAGAAATTAAACTGACCGTCCCTTATATGGTGTCAAGGCTGAATGACTCCTATCAGACAACTTTTACCTTCCTGAAGACAAAACTGGTGGAGATGAGGCAGAAACTACAGGAGTACATTGGAAATATGACCATGGATAATGTTATAGGAAAAATAATATCGCAGCATTTGAAGTCAGGAAGCCAGGTAATAGTTTTCAATGTTCTCTAAATGTGGTACATTGATTTCTCTTTCTTAGCATTCCCCGACTGTAAACTCCACCGGAAAGTTCTGATTGTTCATCCACTTCTAGACTTTGGCCTTGTTCTAGAATTTGAGTTTGCGCACAGATCCATTTTACAGGTCTGGCTTATTTGTATGCAGACTGTTGGTTCTTTGTCTCTCAGGCAGGTGCAGTCTGATTTTGAAAGAAAAATCCCTGATTAGTTGCCTTGTATGACATGCTTGTTGGCAGCAGTGGGTCTATTCTTTTCTTCTCCAAATAGGGCCTTGGAACCCACATGGGCAGTACATTGATTCAGCAGGTGCAAGTAGTGGGAGTCATTGCATTGTAATTATAGATGCTAATCAGCTGATGTAAAGGTCTATGGTTCAAATCCATATTGAGGCCAAAGGTGCAGCATTCATGCTTTCTGTAGACTCTCACAGGTAACCAACCAGTCTGCAAAGAGACAAATGGCGCCATAAAGGGTAACACCTGTTATAGGATAACACTTGTTAAAGGATAACACCTGTTACAAGATAACATCTGAAGCAATAAAGTTAATTCTCTCACATTAGAAGTTTTTTTTAACTAACTTTTTTTGTACCGGAAGATTTCACAGGATATTCCTAAGGGTCGCTGTAAATATAAAATATGATAACCGGACTGTCACAGATATGGAAACAGATATACCTAGTTGGGGCATTCTAATTACTAGCCAGTCATATGTAGTGTGTGTAGGCTAAACACCAGATTACATTGTTGGTTACTAGGTACACATGGAGGATAGTCTATCACAACTGATGTGTTTGCTGGGACTAAGAGAGTTGAGTATCCATTTTAGGTGACATTAGAGGTGTCTCCAGCTCAGTTCCTGAACTCTTAACTACGAGTTCTCTCACTATGTGTATAACCTAACCACACCTACTTTGAATGTTTTAATGAGAGTGGATTTACCTTTAGTGGATTTTTTTGGAATCTTAACATCAAGCAAGCAGTCAAGTGCCGTCTCCACAGTAGCCATTGACTGCAGTGTATCTCCAACATTATCTTTCACTCTGATTGTATATTCTCTGAGACTGCTGTTGATCTACATCCTGAGGTTTTACTTCCACTTTTTCCATGTGGGTTCCGGGCTGTCAACTAATTACGGGTTTCCTTTGAAGTGGCAGTGCATCTGCCTGAGAGGAAAGGAACCAATAACAAGGATGTGCATGCAAAACTTCAGCTCTGCAACAAGACTAAAGTCCAGAAGTGAACCAGCGACCATAAATTTTATCTAGAGTTTACAGCCAGTGAACATGAAGAAGAAAAATAAGGAGATACTCCCTCTTGTATTACTGTCTATCCTTCAACAAATCTCTTTTTATTTTTATTCCCTCTCACAATGATTCATGTATTTGATTTTTTTTTATTTCCATGTAATTCTGTTTATTCTTACATATCCAGGAGGGCCTTAATTTGATTTTCATATTTTGTGTTCATTTTCCATATTTCTGCACCATATCCTTTCTTTAGGTATTATAACGATTGATATTTCTCATTTTAATGTATTATTTATCTCTGGATTTTAATCATTTTCTCTCCCCATGCTAGTTCCGTTTTACAGTTTTGGCTTATTTGTGTGCAAATCTTTGGTCTTTTCACTCAGATCCACTCCCATTTCAAAGGAAACCCCTAAATAGTAAACTGTTAATGAGGCAGTGGGTCTGTTGTTTTTTTCTTCAAAAAAATGGGGAATGTTTATTTCTTAATGTAAATGTATTTTTTCTCCACAGAGAACCAGCCCAGGTGAAATGTGTTGGCACCACTTCCAGATGCGGCTGAACAGAACCATTGAAGATGTGGTTTGCTTCGCTAAAAAGATTCCTGGCTTTGCTGAACTAGACCAAGATGACCAGATCAGTCTCATTAAAGGTGGATGCTTTGAGGTATGATCAGTAGTTGGAGTGGTTATGACTAGGGATTCTTGCTTAACTCATTGAGTCCCAGGGGGTTAAGCATCACAGGCCCAGGGGGTAGTAAAGAAAGTAATAAAATCGGCGCATCACGTGTTCATTGGGCTTCTAGGTAGGAACCTATGAACGTATGATGCGTTCCTTGGGACTCAAAGAGTTAACAGTGTTTTTGCCTTTTTTTTTTCTTCTTTTTCAGCCAAGGTCATAATTGCACTGTGCACATTTAGCACATGGCTGCCATATTTATGCCTTCTGGCTGACTCAGGCAAGTGTGGCCTGGGTTAGCCTTCACAGATGTAGTATTTAAATGTATACTTTCATTTCAAGTTTTGGTCCTAGAAAATACTTGCAGCAGATTACCAAGAGCTAGGAGGAAGTACTGGGATAGATAATGAGTACATGATTTCAAAGAAGCTAATTACACAGTGCAAGTGGCCAGTGGTTACCATGTTTCTTTAGTAAGCTCTGACTAAATGTGAAAGGGTTTCAGAACACATAAAGTTAGGATTTTCACAAAAAAGCATATATCATATGTTGATTGGGACTATCAGAGCAAAGTATTACCTGATATTTACAAAGAATTTGTTGTGCCTAGATTTGCCATCTCAGGTGACCGCTTCAGAGGGTTTGTTATACTAGCTCAGGGTGTATTTGTGAAGTTATATATTAAATAGGAAGACCCTTTTGTACACTTTGAGGTCTACTTTACATCCCAGAAAATTTTCTGTTAGTCATTTTAAGCTGAGTCAATTTGGGAGACAAGGTCTAGTTTTTTGTTTTTTTTTTTTTAAAAATCCTGTTATCAATGGATATTCAAATATATGACCGGTAGGCTGGCAGACATTCCCTTCCTAACTTGTATTTATTCCTTAAAAAATTCTGGAAATTATCTGGTCTCTGTTTATGTTAAATGGGTCAACCTTCAGAGTTGTACTGGTTGGGAACATTTCTATCACTTCTGAGAATTCTTCTTCACATTCACCGGCTGTAAACTCTGGCGGAAAGTTGTAGTTGTTCATCTATCTCTAGACTTGAGACTTGTTCCAGAACCTGAGTGTTGCGTGTGCACATCCATTTTACAGATCTGACTTATTTGTATGCAGAATGTTGGTTCCTTGCCTCTCAGGCAGATGCCAGTTTCTTTAGAACCTCTGTAATTGATTATTTTATTTTCAAATATGTACAGCCATATCATCTGTCTCCATTATTCAGGATTGATGGTTTCTACACCATAAAGTTGGCTTAATTATTCATAACATTTAATAATTATTCATAACATTTAAGTCCTCATGTTCAACCCTTTTACCATGCTGAAGAAATATAATGAATAAAGAGCAAAGGAAGACTAAGTAAAATATGGAGCATCATCTTCAGGAGCAACCTAACAGAAATAAATGCCAGCTTGTACAATACATGGGAAAAAGCACAACACGAATGATCCTCACATCTCCGCCCTCCCCCCTCCCCCAACATCTCACTGAGGCAGATGGTGGAAGAGGAAAAGAAGAAGACCCCAGGAAAACATCAGAAAAAAAATATATGTATAAAAAAAAAAACTGGGTTGTGACCCAGATGGAATTCCCCCCAAAATTCTTAACAACAGTGATATTACACAGACCACTTATTCTTTTTAATTTATATTTATTTATCTTTTTTTTTTAATTTCTTTCTTTCTTCTTCTTTTTTAAATATATAAAGATATACAAAGGGAGTAATCAATAGACATGAACAGAATGAAGCATTAAATAGAATACTTCCCCATCACCTTAAAAACCATGTGTATTAGTTGACTCATGCCGTTACACCATGATCTCTATCACTTAGATTATGGGAACATTTGACATCATCTTGGCTTGAAAAACCCACGTGGTTCACAGGGAAACATCTCTTAATGCTGTTTTTAGCTTATATGTTCATATCACAACCTCTTAAAAATTTGCTTAGACATAAACTCAGCAAATAACATAAACTGTGCATCTTGTAAACATGTCACTGTAGTAAACAAGTAAGAAATAAATAGCCTTGGGAATTCTTTAATCCATAAAAACAGTTACAGTGAGCTATTGTTACAAGTACAGTGACAGGCTCAAGTCCTGGTACTGTAACTACAGCTTTTTGATTTTTATGTTGTCGACAGTGTTCTCGTATATCTACTTCTTTTTATGAGTGCCAGTGAATACACGTTAATTTGCTTATTATGCTGTTCATATTTAATATGATAGATTAGTAACAAATTATTTTGAAACTGCAGAGATGTGAAAAATGATGTGGAAGCTGCGGAGATGTGGTTTTATAGATGAATAATGAGAATACCCTGGGCAGATACAAAAAGAGTAATGAAGACGCCTTGAAAAAAACTGACTCACAAAGAGAACTGATTGCCCACATCAGAAAGAAACAATCTACATTCTTTGGTCATGTAACGAGAAGCAGAAAACTGAAGTAAATCGTCATGATAGTAGACAAGTTGGAGGGCAGGAGAGGCAGAGGGAGACAGAAAGAACATATGCTGGTCTTTTTGACATCATGGCATGAAAGATTATCTGTGTCAGAGTTGATTGAAAGTACACAAGACAGAAGATTGTGGATAGACATGACTACCAGTGCCACACAGCAGGGACTTTAAGAAGAGGAAGATTTAATATGTTGTTTATCTTAAAATGTTAAATATTATTTTCATGAAACCACTTTCGGACAATGAATACTATATAAACTACAAAGTCCTGATTAATAATAAAAAATTTCTAATGTTTTATTTCTTGCAGGTTGCCTGTGTTGTGTGTGCCCCATTTATTGATGCAGAAACCAATTCCATATTCTTGCTAGGAAATAGTTCTATAGTACTAAGGGACGAGATGAAGTGTGGCTTCCCACTAGGGGAGCATTTTGTTGAACTTCTCTTCAACCTCTCAAACCGACTAAATGCTTTTAACCTGAGAAACTCTGAGAAAGCATTGTTTAGTGCACTGGTCTTGATATCTCCAGGTTTGTGAACTTGTGTATGTTTAATTTAAAATAATGTTTTCTCATTAGTTAATTACATTTTTAGTTTAGATTATAAATTGTCGGAATTCAGCATAATATCTTTTTCATGAGCACTTATGGGAATGTCCTGAGTGCTTTGTAGTCAGTTGTTAACCCATAACAGATTTTCTGATTGTCTTCTTCTTCTACTTCTTCTTCTTCAGCATTCCGAGCCGTGGAGGTTCATTGCTGCAGATATCACCCGCCTCCATTCATATCTCGGATTGGCCTTCATTTTCCAGTTGGGGATACTAAGTGTTTGCAGGTCTGTCTGGACTTTATCTCTCCATCATCTTCTTGGTCTGCCTCATGGTCTACCACCATTCATCTCCCTTGTGTATACAGTTTTTACTTCTCTGTCATCTGACATTCTTTCAATATGCTTCAGCCATTTAAGTCTTTTAGCTCTCACGGTGCCAGTGATCAAAGGTGATTTAAACAGAATTGAATATGAATATGAATTTCATTGTTGCTTCTCACTCTCTACTCCCTGTTTGCATCTTTGGTGGGTTCAAAGATTCGTCGTAAGACTGTTTTTGAAAACCTGTTTTTCTGATTGCGCATTTAAATAATTCGCATACAGGTAACAATACTTCTTCTTCTTCTTCAGCATTCAGAGCCCTTGAGGTTCATTGCTGCAGATATCACCCGCCTACATTCATCTTTCTGGTAGGCCCTCTATTTCCAGTTGGTGACATCAAGTTTTTGCAGGTCTGTCTGGATAATATCTCTCCATCATCTTCTTGGTCTACCTCGTGGTCTACCACCATTCATCTCCCTGGTGTATACAGTTTTTACCTTTCTGTCATCTGACATTCTTTCAATATGCCCCAACCATTTAAGTTTATTAGCTCTCATCGTGATGCCAGTGATCAGTGGTGATTTAAACAGATTATGAATTTTGTTGTTGCTTCTCACTCTCCATTCACTGCTGTTTGCATCTTTGAGTCAAAAACCTGTAATAAGGCTTCATCTCTTTTAGTTGTGCTCCAAGTTTCAGAGCCATATAACACGACTAGTCTAATCAACGTTTTATATATTTTGATCTTGGTGTTGCGAGACAGACACTTTGACTTTAGCAGATGTTGAAGGGTATAGTATACTTTATTTCCAGATTGTATTCTGGATTTTATTTCTTCTCTAAGCATGTTGAAGCAGTTGGTAAAAATACTGCATGGTTTATTGTCTGGTACATTAAGCTGTTTCTTGTTAGAGGTCTTAACTGTTGTTTACACATCAACATATCCTGTGTTATACAGACACTGAAATCATGTGGTTAATCTCAAACTTCCATGGTTAGATGTACATTGTAACAAAAGACAATGTGATTTGTGTATTTTGGTTAAAATGGTTCACTTTTGAGCTTTGTTAAATGTTTGCAATTATTTGCAGACATTTACTTATGTTGCAGATTACTACGAATGTGAGTCATGGACTATCTAGTATTTCTTAAGAGAATTTAATGGATGTGAATCGTTGATTATCTTGTAGTTATTATGGATGTGAGTCGTGGACTATCTTTTAGTTCTTAAGGAAAAACGGGTGTGAATTGTGGACTATCTTGCAGTCCTTAAGGAAGAAAATAGGGGCTTCTGAACTGAATTGCTATAGAAAGATTCTCAGAATACTATGGACAAAGAAGAAAATAAACACTGACATCTTAATTTCAAGGAAGATGTTTCTCACAAAACATGAAAATGCCAACCACATCAGCCCTCGAGTTTCTGTTGGTCCATACAAATGTGTGTCTAGAACCATTTGCTTGATGGGTCATTGACATAAACTAGATTCTGCGTGTGTTTTGATATGTTTTATCTCATAGAATTTTTTATTGTTGTTCGAAATAAGATTTACACTTCTGCTGCTTTCAATGTTTTTTCTTTAATTTTTGTTTTTTAAGAACATCATATGCCAGTAAAAACAAAAACAAAAAAGATTTAAGTTTTTTAAAATCTTATAGTATTTTGTTAGAAATAAGATTGACATTTATGAAGCTTTCAGTTTTTCTTGCAAAAAAATAAGTATGCACAATTTGTCACTGGCAAGAAAAAAAAATATTAAAATATTTTTCTTATATATATAGATCTCTCTCTCTCTCTCTCTCTCTCTCTCTCTCTCTCTCTCTCTCTCTCTCTCTCTCTCTCTCTCTCTCTCTCTCTCTCTCTCTCTCTCTCTCTCTCTCTCTCTCTCTCTCTCTCTCTCTCTCTCTCTCTCTCTCTCTCTCTCTCTCTCTCTCTCTCTCTCTCTCTCTCTCTCTCTCTCTCTCTCTCTCTCTTTAAAAGTTATTTGCATTTCTGCTGCTTTCAATCTTTGTTTTAAAATTTGAAGTGAATTAATTAGGATGCAATAAAATTGTTTTCTGGCTGTGACTTATCCTGTTTACTTTTTTTTTTTTTAACACAGACCGACCTGGATTGAAAAATCGTGAGAAAGTCAGCAAACTCCAGGAGCTTCTAATTCAAGCTCTGCAGTCTGAGATAACTCTGTCGCACAAAGATGAGGGAGGTCTATTTCCCAGACTTCTCATGTCCATCTCCAGCCTTCGTGAACTTGGTGTTGAGCACAGGCGAATGCTGGAATCCCTCAAGGGACAAATGAGTTTTCCTCACGACCTGTATGCAGAGACCTTTGACCTTCTTCCATGATATTCATTTTAATAGAAACCCAAAATTAATTGATTTTTGTTCTAAATTGTGCTATCTGGCAATGTAAGATAAACATTCTGGCAGTTGTACATTTACATAAAATATGAACTGTTGACAGCTGAGTGTTGAAATGATAGTTAACTACTGCAGTCAACCTACAATGGTTCCCATTTTTGCTTTGAAAAAAAAATGCAATTGATGCAAGCAGATACATCTATCAACTATACAGGTGCTGTGTTTTTATAATGTATGTACTGTTGTACATATATATGTAAACTATGTGCACCACCAACATCAACAGAAATAAAAAAGAAGCAATTTACTTCATTTTGCTGCTACAAAGAAAATTGCCACAAGATTATTATAATTTTCTTTTTGTTTTTAAAGAGAAATTTCTAGTGGCTTCAACATCAGTTGTAGAATACATGTAAGATGTAAACGGCAGAGAAAAGGATTTATTTGTTACATTCTGAAACATAGAAAACAGAGATAATGTTATATGTGTGTGTGTGTGGTTTATACATATATATATAAAAATAGTTTAGATTCAGTGTGCTGTTCATACATTTGTATTCTGAATTAGAAGCATAGGTACTAAACAGTGATGTGCTGCAGCGTCTCATTTTTTATACCAGGGCTATACAACTAAGTTTACTCAGGAGCAAGAATGTTGGTAAGAGGGATTATCACGGGTCAGAGGCCCAAACCACGGCATACAAAGATCATTAACACAAAACAAACAAAGGATCTACAGCTCATTTGCTAGGCCTCTGTGTGTCTGATTCAGCTGGTCAGTCACCAGTTTCTTCTTCTTATTCTTCTTTAATCCTTATATCAGAACGGTTATATAAGGAAGCCTTTATAGAAGCCACTGTGCAGTTCATTTTTTTCTTATGTACCTTACAGCTTTGTCTACATTGTGTTTGGAACAGGCCAGATTGCGTCTCTGTGGTCCCCAATTGAATAGTGCTGATTCAGACTATTTCCAATAAACTGTACTGAATCTGCCTCAACCCGGTGATACATTTTGTACGAAGATATATATAAATGTTTCTTTAGTAACATACAATAAACCCTGTGACTTGTGTACTGCATTAATGATTTAGATCCAGTCTAATGGTCTGAAAAACATATAAACAGTATAAGTTTCATCCAAGTATGTGAATCTGGGTAAACTATGAATATTCCAGGTATTGTTGTGAGCACTAAATTCATGTGACAGATTTTAGTCACACAATTTGCTTACTACAGTCAGAGTAAACTAATACAGTAACAATAAATTAAGTGAAATGCATCCTCCATAAAAGTATATATTTTACCTGATATTTTAAGAGTATATGATATGGATTTCATCTTCTTTTCCATTTAAACAATATATTGTCACAGTTGTCCCCATGTGGGATGCAATTTGTTGTTGTTTAAAACCCCACCCTGGCTTCTGCCTGGGGCCTTGAAAAAAGCTGGGGCACAAATATGGCCTAGCCATAGTATGGCCTAACGGCTGAAAGGTATTTCTGGGACCTCTCCACAGGTGATCCTCATCTGCATGGTGGCACTTTGTGTCACTGGGTGTTTATCACTTGTGGGATGTCCTGGTTGGGTACAACTACCTACCTACCTTTTCCATTTAAGATATAAATTCTTTATCATAGTTCTCTTACTATATATAAACAGTAGAATTCCATTTGTTGGTTTTTCTGTCAAAGTGAAAAAGAACAGATTCCTTCAGATAATCTGCTAATTTTAGACATTACCTTTTTTAGTCATTAGCATGCAATATATAATGATCAGTATTTCAACCAAACATTGCACAGAGCCAGATGCCACAGACAAAATGAAAACTAAATAAAATAACCTAGTAATTGTATTTAATATAAAGATTATCCAGTTCAACATTAATGAAGTTTATAATTTGGGTTTAACTGAATATTATACAGTGGCATCTTTATTTCTACATAAATTTCACATTATTTTTATGTTACACATTTATTTTTCAACTGGCTCAAATCACCATGAGCAATCATGCTAAATTATTGCCTACAATTATTATGCGAACAAACATGATTTGTACGTCCTTGGGGGTGGTATGGTTATTGCAACAACAAAAAAAAAAAAGTTTCAAAGCAAGAAACACCTAGATCCAAAATCTGGCATAATGGACAGGCTTAAAATATGACAATAATAAGTCCAAGGTATTTGATTGCCATAAATGGAAAGACCTGATCAAACAGGGAACAATAATTTGATAACCCAAAGATACACATTGTAATGGGACTAGATAGAAGGCATAGCAGTGGTACTAGTTAATCTCAACTGAGTTTAATTATTTATTTTCCTGGATGTTATTACAGCTCTGTGTGTGTTAAAAGATCACCTATAAAAACTACATGGAACAAATGAAAGTGATCAGAAACAGAATAGGAATATAGAAATTAGTGTAATGTCAGAAAATATTAGGCACAAGATTCAGAGAAAGACAAAGAAAAATGCATAAAGTAAACAGTTAGGCAATAAAAAATATACAAGCAGTGTAGACTTCATCAACAGTCAGATGCCAGAAGATTGAAGTGTCAGGATATTTACTCTCGAAAATCAATATAGCCAGTGTTTTGCTGGCCATATTTGCCTATATGTGCCAGCTGGTCACAGAAAATGCAGACCAAACACAATATGCCTAATATGGTGTGTATATATCATTGGCACTATGCAAAAGTTATTGAAGTACTAAAGTGCAATAAAATAGCATTTGAACATTGAGTGCCACATGCAAATTGTGGAACTGCATGTACAGTAAAATCTAATTTTCACCTATTTTAAGTAGGAATTCACATATGTGTCTTCGGCATACAGTGACAAATAACAACTCTGAAAATGAACTTAGGTAAAAAAAATTGTCAAATTACACTAAGGTGACTTTAGCATAGTGCCAAAAAATATCAAGTCATTAATTACTTCATCCATTCCCCCGTGTGGGTTCCAGGGCCCTACTATGGGAAAAACAAGAATAGACCTATTGCCTACCCAAAAGCATGTCGTAAGAGTCGACTAATTTGGAGCTTCCTTCGAAGTCGGAGTGCATCTGCCTGAGAGGCAAGGAACCAACAGTCTACATACAGATCTGTCAAATGGATGCACACGCAACACTCAGGTTCTGTAACAGGACTGCAGTCCAGAAGTGGACAAACAACCAGAATTTTCCGCCGGAGTTCACAACCGGTGAACGCGAAGAAGAAGAAGAAGACTTCATCAGTTGAATGATAATTTCACCACTTGACAGGAATAGACACCATCTGATAACACTTCACCTTGTCTTCAACCTGCATTTCTTCCACCCAGTAACAAATTTACCCTGTGAACTGCAAAACATTTGCATCCGGTGATGAACTAATTTTACAACCTCATTTTGTTTCATCCAGCAACATTGTACGCAACTGAAACTTCATAGACACTCTCCGGTGACACATTTCTTTGGTTTGTTTTTAAACTATTCTACTATAGCTTCTGCCTGCCTCTTGGCAGCTACTAACAGAATTGTCTAATCAGTTGTGTTCTGCACAGTTCCATACACTGTTAACTGGATGATTGTTTGCAATATTTTACTTAATGATGTGAAAATGTAAATGTTGATTGATACAGGTTTATATATTGCACCAAGTGGTGTGTTTATGTAATTGTATAAATGGTACAGGTTTATAGTTTTACCAGCTGGTGTATCTTATGTAATTGTGTAAATGGTACAGGTTTATATGTTGCACTAAATGGTGTGTTTATGTAATTGTATAAGTATAAATGTTACAAGTTTATAAGTGTCACCAAGCGGTTTGTTTATGTATTTATTTAACTCTATAAGTATTAGGAAACTCACAATACATTTATTTTGTTACTTTTTCTGTCTCATTTTTATGTTTGTTAACCATCTCACTTATTACTATAACTCATTCTCTCCCAAGGCTATGTTTTCAAATTCCACAGAAGTTAAAAAAAAAAATGGTTGCTCCAAGTACAAAAACTTGAGGATAAACCATATTGAAATTATAATTACCTTGGATTGATAGAGTTAAATGGTACAGGTTTATAAGTTTCTTCTTCTGCTTTCCTCCGAAGATGTAAATTACTTGTACCTGCTTAAACATTGCTGCAATATTTTCATCAATCCCATCTTCCGACTGATGCATTCGACTTTAGCAGGATTTGTTGCCCAGGTTAGCCTTACAGGGGTTTATATGTTATACCAAATGGCATGTTTATGTTAATGTATGATCGGTGTAGTTTTACAATATGCTTTTATATATGTATGTGTATAGATGGTGCAAAACTATAGGGTTTACATCATTTTCCGTTTATGTATTTTTTACAAAATGGTACAGATTTGATATGTTTACCAAAGGGTGTGTTTATGTAGCTGTGTGAAGAGGACAAGTCTATAGGTATTATCAAGAGATAACAATAATAATAATCTATACACCATCAAGTATGTTGTTACATATGATCAGCTTTTGTCCGGTTGTATCACTTGAGTTGGTTTTAGTTAAGAATCAACATCAAAGCACTCGGTACATTCCCACAAGTGAACATCAAATTGCATGCGGGTCATAGGCGTTTCTTTCTCAGATGGTCATCTCCAGCATTAACCTGCCATTAGGTGTGGATTTTTCATTAAATGCCAAGATGAGCCATTATATGTCATGAGGCAAAAGAAGTGCTTCTTAGCAAAAGTTAATGGTTGACGTTTGGTGCAGGAGAGCCTAGCATATGATACCACAACATCCAGCTTCAGAATGGAGGTGGAGGCGGTCACTGCAGCTTTCAGCTGGCTAGAGAACATGACACACACACATCATGATTGTAACTGACTCAGAGAGCATGCTGAGGAAGATCAGGACTGGCATGCTTCGTGCAGAGTGGCATGCTTCGCTGCGGAGGACACGGGTGAGGAGTATTGTCTGGATTTTTTCACCGGGCACGCTGGTGTGTTGGGAAATGAACAGGCGGACAGACTG